CAACACTGTGGCAGTGAATTTTGTGTGTCAACTTGGCTAGGACATGGTACCCAGGCATTTGGTCAAACACTAGTCCAGATACTGCTGTGAAGGGATTCTTTAGATGAGATTAACATTTAAATTAGTAGACTCTGAGTACAGTTGATTACCCTCCATAATGTGGGTGAGCCTCATCCAATCAGTTGAAGGTCATATGAGAAAAAATCTCACCTCTTCCAAAGAGAGAACTCTGCTGGTAGATTGCCTTCCGTCTCAAAATGCAACATCAACTCTTTTCTCTAACCTGCAAGCCTTGAGCCAATTCCTTGACATAAAAATCCTCACTCTCTCTCTCCATGCACACACACTTCACATTGGTTCTGTTTCCCTAGAGAACCCTAACAACAACCACCTAGCCCATCTTCTGAGGAAATAACCTGCACCTATCCTTCAAAGACAGGGAGGGAAAAGAGCAAAAGTGAAGTCTACTTAAATGGCTAGACAGAACTCCACTTCCAGGTGAAAAACCCGAAACCACTATGCATGACTATTAATTTGAAATTTCTATTTCAGCCCCAAATGCTTGTCATCTCAAGAATTTGCCAAAAGTCCTGGTTCCTTTGAGAGAGAGGCCTCAGTGAGATCTGTCAAGGGAATGGTGATGCTATAACAAGGATTCATCACAGCAGGAGCGGAGGAGAGAGGGCCAAAGGGAAGTCAAAGAGACGAAATGCCAGGCATTTACTGCATTGCTCAATGTGATCAGTCTCAGGAGCCACCGCTCAAGCCGAGGTTCGGGCTCACAAGAATACAATGAAGACATGAGGAGACATGTTAAGAAGCAGGACCTGGGCTGGTTTGTTTCGAAGATGTTTCCTCAGTTCTGGAACCACCCTTCCCAGCCTTGAGCTAAAGCAGCAAAGTCTGCCCCCACCTCCCCAGCGACCCAGGAAGACTTCTGGGCTGATGTGGCTCTTACCTGGCCATCTGCTTGTAGGCTTCTTCTGCCACAGCAAAGATGTGGGGGTCCATATCACCCATGTTTTGGCCGCTGTAGGCATAGATGACATCTTGTCCATAGATTGGCAGCTGCTCATAAGGATTAATGGCAACAAGCACAATACCTGCAAACAGGCAGAGCAATCAGATTCCGGAGCACAAGGGCCCCCAGCACCAGCTCATGAAGGCCCCTGCTCACAGGGTAACAGAATGGTCCTAACCAATCACTCGACTAAGTCAAGACGTATGTGTGTATTTACCAGGCACTGGCTGGCAGAGTTGTATAAAACCCTCACTCATGTGTATTCAGCTCAGATTCTGGTATGACACGCTGCGGTCACACATTGTCCTAAAATGTCTCAGCTCCCTCCAGGGCAGAAATGAGTGCCTCTTACTGAGTTGAATTCTGTGCTGCACTAGCCACTCTCACAGCCGAAGCATCTGGATAGATACGTACAGACACCAGGACCTCTCTTACAGGGGATGCTTTTAAAAAGCGAAGCTGATCAAAGAACTTATATGCACATGTGCAGAGCCCAAGGACACAATAGTGTAGCGAAGGCCTGGGGTGGGGCAGGGGCTGGGTGGAGGGGGGAAGGAGGAGGGTAGAAAGGGGGACGTCTGTAATACCGTCAATAATTTCAATAATAAAAATAAAAAGTGAAGCTGATGGTCATTTGTCATGTTCTCCTAAAAGGGGAGATTTTAAAAATCTTGTTGATAAGAACACTTATGGAAGGCTCTAGTAATGGATGGTTTCTTTCAAATAAACTCCCACTTGCAATTCGGATGAAGGAGCTTTTGCAAAACTACCTCACAAGTGCCGAAATAAACCTGCTATTCGCCACTTCTCAAAGCTGGCAGGAAAGCTCACTCTAACTTAGAAGCTAAGGGATCGATTCCAGCCCAACGTGGAATATCAGGGTGAGCAGGTCCTTCGTGCCCTACAGCCCCACCCATGATCACAGACACCAGGCTCTCAGCCCCACGAGGCAGCTCTCAGCCCAACGCCTCAGCCTCCTAAAATAAAACGTCCCTCCAGCAACAGCTTACAGGGCTCCTGTTTCCATCACACCACTGAACGATACTCTGCAAAGAGGAACCAACATTTAGAATGGGAAACTGAGAAATTTCTAGAAAAACAAGTATGAGAGAATTCCAGGGCTTTTAGGTGGAAGCATTTGTCATGGCTTCTGTTTATGAACTTGACAAATGTTTGTCATGCACCATGTTGGTATCTGGCTGGGCCAGCGAGAGGGTCAGAGAAAAAGGTGGTCCTTTCACTGAAAAATAAGCCAGGTATAGACACGGGAGTGCGCTCGGAGGCGAGAGAGACGCCCGAGCTAGGACAACGTTCTCCTAAGACTCCAGGCTGTGCCCAAGGCAGTCAAGCCACACAGTGTGGGCCCTACTCCCTGGGAGAGCTGGGTCAACACAGTCACCCCACAGACAAGTAGGGCAGCCCAATGACACCCCATCCACTGTCTGCAAACCTTCGCAGGGTCTCAGATGGGAGGTGCTTATTATACAAATGAGAGTGAAAGTAGGATTCTTAACCACTGGAGTTTCACACGGAAAACCTGAAGGTTGTAAGCACGTTCAAAGGCACGCACCCAAGAGACGCCCCCACTTACCACAGTACGTGTAGATATGGTTGGACTCCAGGAAACGGACCTTTAAGTTATGCAAAACGGCAGGCTCGTGGAGATAGCTGAGGGCAGTGAGGTCATTTTCTCCCACCAAGATGTCTGGGTTCCGCAGGAAGGGCAGCTGCTTGCTTTGGGCATCGATGGGGTATTCCTGAATCTAAATGTAAGAACAGACGCAAAAAGGCAGGGTGATGAAGCATGCAGCCTGCGTTCCATTCCTGTTTTGTTGGCTGGGACCACTATCCTAGGGTGATCACAAGTGATGAAGATAAAGAACATGTTTTAAAGAAAGGCACACTGAACAAAATACCTGTGCTGGACAAGACCCCAGCCCAGGTGGGAAATCTGCTGATAACATAATCCCAGGGTATCAGGTAAGAGACCCAATGACACGAGAAATTCAGGAAGCACAACCAGATGGAGTAAAGCGCTCTGCTTCTCAACGGAAAAAACACTTACTGAGCCTGTAATTCTGGTTGCAATAGGAAGACTGCTGTCTCTCCCACCCAGGAAACCTTTGGTTGCCCCACTGCATGCTGGTGTTTCTTTATTCTCTCTCCCATCAACCAGCACTTTCACTGTTTACTTGGATTACCTTGCAACTGACACACTGCCCTCCGTAAGTGTCTGCAAGATGTACATATATTTTCCACACCCTAACTGCAAGCTACTCTAGGGCAATCATTGCACTTTGACCTAAAGTATAATAGGAGCTTGAGTGTGTGTGTGTGTGTGTGTGTGTGTGTGTGTGTAAAATCAGGGAGTGTGAGTACACATTTTTAAGTTCAAATCTCAAGTGCAAGGTGTACCCTTGTGCTCTTAGCACATGGACTACATAAGTTGACTGACAGGATATAATTATAACTCTGATCACATGTGCACCAATATATACATATAATTACTAAAAAACGGTGGTGGTGTTTTTAAACATTTAAGCAGGAAGAATTTGACTACTGTTTTATCTAAGTGTACGTTTCTTATAGGGCTCTTAAGAACCATCTGAGAGCTTATAGAAACAGTTTCCCAAATACAACTTACATTCAGGAATTCTGGGTGGGGCCCGGGAAGCTGAATTTTTAAAAAATCCCCAAGTAGTTCGAATACAGGTGGTTCATTATTTTAAGAATCACTATTCCGTATAAGCCTTTCATGACATTCTATGTTCATAGCCTCAAGTTGCTGAGATAACAGTCAAATTCTGAGAGAATATACAGATCAATGCCCCCTCCTATCCCACTCTTAGAGGGGCTTGGGTCACCAGATCCTAAGGTATATTAATAAAGCCCACAATTAAAGTGCTATCATACTAGCGCTAACATAGGCAAATGAGTGAAATGGAATAGCAGATCCGGAAATAAATGCAAGCACTGATGGAAAATTTGTTCATGATAACATCAAAATTGCAAATAAATGATTAAAAGGGCTTTTTCAAGTAAGAGTAGTAAACTAGCAGCCACTGAGGAAAAATATTGGGCCAGCGTTCTAGTCTCACTCCTTTACACCAAAATAAATTTCAGAGAGAACACATGAAAATTAAAAACCAAAAAGGAAAACAAAACCAATAAGAAAATATGGGCAAGTATCTGTAAAAGTTTTAGAAGGAATTGCAACTTTTAAAGATCAGTGCAAAAGCTAGACTATAATTTGACTATAATATAGAACTTTAAAGCCATCATAAAACACGCCATATGCAGAATAAAATGGGAGAAGGGGACAGCAATTCTGCATTATATGACAAAATTAATACTCCTAAAATCCAAAATGTTTTAGGAAATCAGAGCGAAAACCAACACCCCAACAGAAAATTGTGCATAGAATACAACACACACACACAGTACTGCCCCACCCCCCCGGCAAATGTATACACACTTTAATAGCTGATAACTCACTTAATTTTCACTTCTTTTCAGGTTTAACTGATTTGAAATTATGGGTGAAGCCAGACTAAACTTTGAACAAAAAAAATTTATCCATTAGACTTTTTTATGGGGATACATAAAAGATAAAGTTTACAGCACAAAACCAGCAACAGTTGACAAATTGAGGGTGCACAAATACCAAATGAAATGATTCTTGATGTTTGCGATTCTGTTGCTTCCTGTTATCGGCAGTGCCTGGACCAGAACGGTTATCAGTTTGAAAACAGGCATTGACAAAAAAAAAATGCTCATTTGTATAGATTCTCCTAAATTTTGAAAATAAACACTGACTTTATAAGCATTCAAAGTGTGTATACATTTTTTGGGACACCCAGTAGATATTAATCAAGGCTCCTTTCTGCCAGGGTTCTTGTCCCAACGTCAAGAAGGGTTCAGGAATCTGGAGAAGGCTGTGCGTAGATGACATAGGAATCCAGAGACTAATAGAGTCTGGAGACGAAATATAATTTTGAAAGGCATTGGGGGTCAGAGGAGCTTAGCTAAAGGAGCTAAGATCTAAGGTCTTAAGTCTAAGGCCTTCGGATCTCTCCGTCTCCAGGACCCCGTGCTTTTTATTAACACAGCTTGTCCTGAGGCGAGGCAGAGATATACACTTCAAAGGGTCAGGGTTTGGTACAGAGTCCATTGTCCGAATGGGGAATAGCCTACGGCTGTTCAGGTGTTTGGCCAGTAGGAGGCAATAACACTTAGATTAAGATGCCTTTTAGCTGTCTGGCAGCAGCAATCAGTTTCCTATTCAGGTTTGGGGAAATGCCTTTAGCCATTCCCAATGGGTGACTACATGTGTGACTCAACCCTGTTGAGTCCCCAAGTCTCATCAACCTTTTGATGAAGCTCTTGAAATGATGACCTGCTGGAACTGGTCTCCGGCACCTTTCTTTCTGGGCAAAGCTCCTTTACTTATATCAACCTTACTCCACACAGGAGACAAGTAAACACTATATGAACGTGATGCAGACAAAACTTCCAAAAAGCGGGAAACTAGGGGAAATGAAGCCTTGATCTTTATCTCAGTAAATTCTAGAGTGGCTGGCTCCCTTCACCTCCTGCTGAGCAGTGGTACCCCTGGGACCCTAACCAGACCTCCCTGAGCCACTGCAGAGTTCCCAATGGACCATTCCTTCCCCATCCTGCTCCCCGCTAGGAGCACATCTGCTCCCCAACTCCTCCCACCCCATTCCCCCACTACCCGTGGGGAAGAGGCACAGGGAACAGCCAATAGCAGGGCCGCAGAAGTCACCCAGCCAACTCCAGCTTTCAGATTCGAAAGCTGGGCCCTGAGCCCAGAGCCTGTAAACCCTGAAGCAGAAATGCTGGCATCCCATCTTTTGTCAGATGAATCTCCCCTCAAAATACTCTCCAGCAAGTATGCAGAGGGACGCGCATATGCATGAAAACACAGCCCACAAATAAGCGCGTGGTATTGGTTACAGGAAAATTGATAAGGAGCAAAAATGCCCAGAGCAGCAGAAAAGGGGCAGAAGTGCAAGCTCAGCATGCAAAGCCACAGACTCCCGGGCCTGCGCACACCGCACACCGCACACCGAGACGGGCGGCGGGGCCTGAGAGGCAGCGGATCTTTTTTCTTTAACAGGAATTTGATTCTAACGCTGCCACAAGTGTCGAGCATGGACCACTAACAAGGTTTTATTCGAAATCTAAGTGTTTATGATGTGATCAGGGATCATGAACTTTTTGGCACAAAAGACTGCACTACATAATAGCTGGGCCTTTGGAGGTGGGAAAAAAGACTGGATGTTAACAACACATCACAAAATTAATGCTCAGCCACCCACTTGGAATGGACCCCAGCCTCCGCCCGAGACCAGGATCATGAACGCAGCAGGGAACAGGCCGATGACAGACATGCACCTGGAGACGGATGGCTGCACTGCAATGTCAACGCCCTTGGTGCACTGATCTGGGCGCTTAGACACGGCTGGGATATGCCAAGACCTGGGTAGAGCACGGCCCCCTTTTTAAAGTTCGTGTGTTCCCGTCTTTCTCTCACTAAGTCTGGGCCCCTTGCATACAGGGAGTCCTCACCATCCAGGTGGCTGCTAGATAGTGGATACAGAATTTAAATGTGAAACCATGGAAACGGGGAAGTTATTCCGGCCACCAGAGGGCAGAGCCCGGCAGTTTGTAGGGGGTTGGGGCAGGAGAGAGGACTGCTGGGCAGAGTTCCACTCCCCTCCTGGCAAAGAATGAGGAAGCTACACTTATCTCCACGTTATGCATTCACGGAGATGCGAGAGCCAGTTCGAAAACAGAGCCCTGTGCAGCTGGGGAGAGAAAGAGAAGACACTGTCCACGCAGGGCAGGACTCGCTTGCAGCTGGGGAGGCACACATCGGCTCGGTTTTGGCCACGCAGATCACTCCTCACTACCTCCGGACAACTCTTTCAAAACACCCACCCACTTAAAAGACCAACTGAAATGCAATCTGTTGGCGAGGATAAACCATTTGAGCGGGTGAATTAATTTCACTTTGTCTCGGGCGGGGCGTGGGGTGGGAAGTGTTCGACGTGGTAAACACGGTTCCATCTGCTGGGAATTTTCTTTCTCGCTTCCAAACGAAGGGGCGGCTGGCAGAGCCGCCCGCTGGGAAGGGAAGGGAGCGGGCACACCTCGGAGTCAACATCTCCCACAAACTCCCTGGTCCAGCTTCACCGAGGCACGCGCTCAGGTGGATACAAACCCAAGCGAGTGGGGGAAGGATGGTCACGCGTCCCACTAACCAACGAGTTAATCACCAACCACAGCAGATGCCATGTCAGCAAAGCCCAAGACACGGGCCATTTCTCAAGGGGGGTCATTAACGAACTAGGAAGACCAGACCAAAATGCTTGAAAGAAGGAAAAACGGTGAGAGGGAATGGTCAAGGGCCAAGGATGGGCACAAACTTAGTGCTCCTGCAGCTCAAACGGAGGCAAATGCCCCTCCCACCGTCCTCCAAGCAATGCCTGCTCCGCAGCCCCTCACACTCAACCCCCGTTCCGCCACCACACTCAAAACCTGCTTCCTCCCAGGCTCCCCCACTGCAGACCTTGCACGGTGACCTCTGCCTGCACCCTCCCCACCACTGGCCCCTTCTCACCGGTCCCACCAGGGGCACTGGCCCTTCCTTCCCTTCAACACACCTAAGGGACACACGGAGGCCTCGGGCTTTGGCACACACACCTGCCCGGGCCCACGGCACCTGAATCGTCAAAGGCTGGCTCCCCCCCTGCTCCTCCCTCAACATCCCCACTCAGCAGGCTGGCTCCTTTAGGTTCCCTCCCACACCTCGCCCACCTGCCTCTGTGACTCCTGCCACTTTGCCACACCGTGCTCATGCTCACTGTGGCCTCGGGCACTGAGCTGCTCCCCCGAAGGGCCCACAACCACTCCCCCATGCACCCCCGAACCCAGCCCAGAGCGAGCTTTCAAATAGTTGTGAAACGCACACATCACAGAGGCGGCTGGTCACAAAGGCCCATGGAAAGAGAAACTGAAGCAGACGCAGGAGAACAGGACTTCACCGTTACTACCTGCCTTCCTTTCCAGCGAAGCCACCCGAAAGCCAACTCATGAGAAAGAAATCTCACTGCACAGCTACCACATGTCGACTGCCCAGGCTCCAGGCTCCAACCCGGGTCACACTGTAACTCATCTCATCCTCAGAGTGCCCCAGGCAAACTACCCCAGACGAAGTAACAGGCACAGGAAGTGCTGATCTGCAGCAGGCACAGAGCTAAGGATGGCCACGCCGGGACCCAACCCAGGCAGGGGCATCCAGCCGGTGCTCCCACCACGGCACCATGCACTGTCTCTGTGTAATAGCTACCCTGTCACCTCCCGGGGTTGCCTCCCCAAAGAGGACACCCCTATTCCCCCACTCCACTGAGAAGAGCCTGGCCTCAGCCATCAGTGACCTCCCATCTGCTGACACCCAGAGGCACGTATGTTATGTGACATCCACGGAGCAGTTTCACGGTTTGGCACTACCACGCACATTATCATCAATCAGTGACAGGAAAGATGCCCGGGGTCCAGAAGCCCCTCCTGCAGGAGAAACCCAAGCCCACCGGTACCGCCCAGTCCTGCTCAGCGGACCCGGCAGGCCCACCCCTCGACCCGCACTTACAGTGTCATCTTCCAGTCTGAGCTGGAGGCTCCTGTCCCCCTCCTTGTAGTCCCTGGTTAACTCGGCCGGGCGCCACACGTCCTCGGGGTCAGGGATCCAGACCCTGGTGCTCTGAAAGATTCAAACAGAAGGAACTTAGACACACAAGGCAGCATCCAGGTTTCTAATCACCGCCACTGTCTAAGGGGCCCCAGGAGAACCGAAGCCCCAGACACATTTCCTCCCTCTCCTTCCAGGACCCACAGAGACCCAGCGCCCTGGTAACAGTGAAACACTCACAGGGAGCAGAGGGCAACCTCTGGGTCTAAGAGGATTTCACACATCAGTGACAGCAGAATTCTACCAGGGAGACCGCAAGCCTGCCTTTGGCTTTGATTTTATCCAGAGGTTTATCCATCATCTCCAACGGCCGTACAAAATAGCAGTGTGCCACAAACCACAAAACAACATGTGCAAAACCCAACACGCCCGCACATCTCCAACCTTCCAGATTCTGGGAATCTCTGCTCTGATACTCAGAGGAATCAGTGAGGAGAGAGTGGCATCGTTGGACACCTGGTGTACACATAAAACATACTGTGATAAGCACCCTGTAATCCAATGCAAACATGGAGCTCTGTCCTCTGACCTTAAGGCACATGTAACCTAGTTGGGCAGGTAATTCACATAAAAATGTACCCTGAGGGGGGATGTGTCTGTTTCCTCAAGGGAGAGCAGTAGCTCCTCAGTGGGGGAGGGCAAGACGAGAGAGGGGAGGCAACAACAGTTAATGGCGACTTAGAAAGAGAGGAAGTAGACGGCCAAATTCTCCTATAAGTTTTTAAAGGGTGGCGTATAACAGACCTGACTGAGCAAGCTTTAGACTCAACCCAGTGGGCATCTAACATGTGCCCCCTCTGTGCCAGCTGTTGCCTCTTCTCCTCCGTCTCCACCATAGAGACGCACGTGGCTGCGTGCTGAGATGACAGCAGCGCGTTGTTACTCGAGAACAAAGTAAACGCTGTGTTGTGAGAGCGCCCATGGGTGACGTCTGCAGGCAGGTCCCCTCGGCTTCCTGTCTCCTCCCTGCCTCCCACCTTCATCCTACTCCATGGACTCTCAGCTTAACGTGCCTACGAATTACTCAGCAGGGCTGTGTACCCAACGTCATGCAGGCCACACTTGATGAGCAATTTACAGGACTTCCAAGGGCAATTCTAACCATAATCAAATTTTGCTTTACGTGCTGCCTTTGCAAACAACCCCCACCGCCTCTTTCCTCCTCCTCCACCCCCACCCCACAAAGATGCATGGCCTCTGTAGCCCAGCGCCAGGGGAACATGAGAGAGAACCGATTGAGAGAGGGAGGGACAGCACCACAGCCCCGGCGAAGACTGGGGGAAGCAAGGCGTGATCTTCACGGTGGAGATGGAAAGAGCTTGGAGGGAAGGGGTTCCCTCAGGGTCAAGAAAATGTTTTTAGCTAGAGAAAGGGGGTGGGTATACAACACTCTTTTAAATGCCAATGAACTGTTCACTTTAAATAGTCAACTTTGTGTTATGGGAATTTCACCTATTTTTTAAAATTTTTGTTTTGGCTGCAGACACTCCCTGTACACTGTCCGCGGGCACGGGCTCTCCCTGCTGGTCTCTGGGAAGGCGATGAGATAGAATGTATGCTTCCAGCAGAAGCTGTCCTTTCTGAGAGCCAAGCAGAAACGCTCTAGAACCAAGGTTCTTTGTTGCCTCTTCACGTTCTCATCTTTTAGAAATTCCTCTGAACAAATCTGACGTCTCGCAGCTTTCCTGGCGGCAGCAGGCTGTAGGGAAGACAAGCTCGCATACAGCACTCATTCCAGCGCCATCTGTCCCTGCGGGACCTGGCATGGCCTTAAGGGATGGGCATGTTTGCTTTCATCATATCGAAGCAGAGTAACAAGTCAGCTCAGCTCACTTCTTTCTCTGCAGGGCCCACACGGGCAGTTCTCGGATCCACGGCTGCAGGAACTGGCCACCTGTGGCCACAGTGCTCCACCTTGGAGGCATGTCACATCCCCGGGAGCTGTGCCAGCTTCCCGAGCAGGCAACCCCTCAGGCCCACGGCATCCATCTCCAGGTGGGAATCAGGCAGTGTTCTCAAGCTCCCCGATGCAATGTGTGAGCAAGTTTGAGAACCACGGGCCATGTGGTTTGATTGGGTAACTGTGGCTCCCAGGGCACCATGGGCCCTAGAGGCTCCTCCCACCAGCCGGTGGTGGAGTCTTTCTCCCAAGCTAACGCACTGGCTTCAGAAAGCCAGGCTGAGATGAGAATTCGATGTTGAGGAGCGGAGAGCACTTTCCCATGCACACTAAACACCACGCAGCGGGGGTGTGATGGAGCGCGTGGGCTCAGGGCCAAGCAGCCGGGTGGGAATTCCACCCCCACCAACACGTGGGCAGGTTGCTGAACGGGTCTGAGCCTCGGTTTCCTCGGCTGTGCCATCGGGTGAAAGTCAGACACTCACGAGGCTCTGAGAATGAGATGAGATCCCACGCCTCAGAGTATGTGATGCAGCGCGAGCAAGAGTGACGGGGATGAAGGTCCGGGTCCTGTTCCGCCTGGAAGGCAGGATCCGGACGGGAGCTTGCACAGGATGGAGGGGTGGGAATGGGAAAGTGACCAGCCTCAGGTGACCCACACAGGGGGCCCCTCTGGACGTCCCACAAGTGACAGGACACAGGTGGCCACGCCTTGCCTCTGACCAGTTCCTGGATGCTGCCTTCCACTCCACCCTGCGAGAAGCGGTTCTCAGTACGGACTGGCATTTAAGAGCTACCTGCACATCTGAAAAACAGACCAGCAGCCCCGTGTCCCACGCTCGAATAATGAAGATGAAAACTTTGGGAGCAGGGCCCAGCACTGTGGTTTTTGTTTTGTTTTGTCTTATTTTAAGCTTCCCAAGTGAAAGCTGTACCGTCCACGTCGAAACCACTCTTCCAGAGTGAGCCTCAGCGCCAAAGGGAAGAGAGCCCTGGGCACCTGCTCCCTGGAATGACGGATGCCCCCCCTATAGCCTTACACTAATGTGAGTAATTTCAGGCACTGTAATCACTTCATGTTACTTTTAACACTAAGGTAAGGTAAGCAGGGTTATGGCTAATATTTCAGAGGAAAAACTGTGGGTACAAAGTACTAATTTGCCCAAAGTACTAGTTTGCCCAAGAGTGAGTTTGGAGCAGGAGCAATATTTCTCCGTCTCCCCCTCATGGAGAAATACTGACTTTCTGGTAGCAGCCCAGGGTCACCGCGTATACATTTCACAGAGTACAGTGTCTTGTAATTACACATGAGCAAGCAGTGCCAGTGCCCACTTAGAATGACACTCCGAAGGAAGCCACCAGGCGGCTCCAGCGTGAATGACTGGGCAGGTGGAAGTTTGGGTTGCAACCTCCCTTGCCTTGAGGCATGGCAGTCGGTCAGTCCCCTGGGAATGGACGAGAGGGGACCCCGCAGCTAGTCCAGCTGCTGAGTGGGTAACTGCCTGTCCGTTCCCACTGTGTTTGGGGGACAAGGACAGGCCCACCTTGTTCATGGCTGTGCCCTCACACGGACGTGAGGCCAGGGTTTCACGGGCACTCACCTCTCTGCTCTGTAATTAAAATCCGGGCTCTGAGCGGGTGGGGGGAAAAGGAAGTCTTTGATAAAACAAGGAAACAGTCAATAGCATTTGCTCAGGACATGAGTTTTGTTCTAGAACTCAGTGGGAAAGGTGCAAGACCTTGTTGACCAGCTTCCATCGCTCACGGAGCACAGAAGCCACCACATGTCTCCATACGGGACCAGTCTGAGGTCCATCCCAGAGGTTCGGGGAGGGAAGGAGACCTGGAAGGCTGTCTCCAGGGGCTCAGACACAGATGACCCCCACAGAACCTGTGCACACAGCCTCCCGGAGCGCAGGCCCTCCTCCCTCCTGTCTGCTGGGGAGTCAGTCCATCCTCCTCCCGCAGTGGCAGGTCCAGCTTCCTGGTTTCCTGTTTACTCATCCATTAAAAGCTTCCTGGACCATAATACCTTCCCTTTTCCCTGAATGCCAGAGGAATTAGATGTCACACTACATTAGAGATGCGTAAGTACACTGTTTACCCAGAACTAAGTCACTGAAAATCCACCAGTAATTTCTGGGCTACTCAGGTGGGCTCCTGAGACCCAACCAGATCCCTTCAGAACTTGCTCCTGACTCTGTTCCAGGTGAAGAGGAGCTGAAACTCAATGTGGAGACGGGGAGCAAAACCACGCAGCCTCCTCAGGTCAAGGGGGATGCAAACAAAGCAGAGAAGCAAGCTTCGTTCTGTAACGTACGAAATGCACGGCTAAATGGCAACGTTGTACTAAAACCCAATGCTTCCTTTTACTTAAACAAAACAAGAGTCAAACATGCCGAAGGCAGGGCCATCTCCATGTCTCTGGCACGGGCCAGCCCACACAATCATATCTTTGATATTTGCTACCTTACATACCAGACGCTGTGCTAAATGTGTTACATACATCATTATATGCCCCTGTCTTCAAGGTGTCAGACACATCATGTAATTCATCTACCGGAAAGGGCGTAACTGCTTGGCCAGCACGGAAATCCATAGCATGTGACGGGACCTAACCTCGTCCGGGTCACCAGGACAGGCGTTGCTGCAAAAGCAAGATTCCAGCTGAGCCTGGACGGACAAGGAGGAGGTGGACACGGCAGGGAGAGAAGAACGGCCTAGGCTGAGAGGGTATCAGTGGGACAAGCCCAGGGCGGGAAGGCGTAGGGCTCGCAGAAGAGCTGAAAGCGGCCAGTGTGGGTGGGACAGAGGTGGAGCAAAGGGCTTGGACTGACACAGAGGAGACCTGCAGGGGGTCCCCGGAGCCACGTGGCAGAGTTTCATGTGACTGCATGGCTGATGGGAATGTCTGCACAGGCTTTAACCAGGAGGAGAGACATGGTCCAAACCACACAGTTAAGGGATTGGTACTTTCAGATCAATGGGTGAGGGACAGAAGCCGGTCTCTGGGTTCAGCTAACTCTTCCAATGTTGGTGCTCCAGGCCTCCACCTCTGTCCTCCTGTGAACGCGCGCGCGTGCGCGCGCACACACACACACACCACCCCCCA